TTGGCTGAGTTAGTTTGTAAGGTTGATTGAATGTCTGCACTGTGGAATGCGGGCGAGAGTGCAGCTGAGTGGAGAGACTTTAAATGAGTTTGCGGTTGTCTATGGTGTGAAGCACGGCGGTGTCTTAGTTCCAACCCTAACTGACAAGGTGATTTAAAAATTCTAAGTGACAAGTGATGCAGGACCTGGAGTTCAGGAATCCATGCTGTGAATTGTTTACTAAGTTTCGAGTTAATAGGAATTCAAGCGTTTTCGACTTTACATGTCGCTCTATCATTTTAGACAATACTGATGTGTGACTAATCGGTCGGTAGTTTTTTACGTCGTACAGTGAACCTGATTTATGACGGGGCATCACTATGGCCTCCTTCCACTGAGCCGCTATGATACCAGAATTCATAGATAAGGTGAACATATTCAGTAGCAGCAAGGGGATGTCATCTCCCCCGAATTTTATGACAGCAGATGGGAGATTGTCCGGACCAGTGAAATAGTAGGTTTTAGTGGACTTTATGAGCTTTTGGATATCGTACAGATTGAATGTGATGTTGCTGAGTTGATCATTCGTGTGATGTTGCAGATCCAGGGTCCCAGGAGCACTACATTCATTAAACGAGGCAGCAAAGTAGTTGTAGAACATTTCGCTGGTATAAGTCGGGTCACTCACTAAGCATTTATCTGCAGACATAAGCGAGATAACATCTAGGTTCTGTTTAGCGGTCTTGCGCTTAAGCAATCTGAATAGTTCCTGTTTTCTATTTTGGCTACCGAGTGCTTGCTTTTCTTTATCAATCAGCTTGGCCTGATTGGCATTCTCCTTAATAGTAACCAATTGCTGGTGCTTTATTAAGAAACCGAAGTCATTGGATTTACTATACGCCTTGAGCAACTTTTTGAGCTTTACAGCTAATTTGTGTTGCGTAGGCCTTTCTCCAGAGGTAGGTAGTTTTATATGCTTTCGCGGAATCGACACATCTACTGACCGATGGATGTTGTTATATAACTCATCTGCTGCGGTCTGAGGGTCGCTAGCGAGGAAGAATGTGTCCCACTGCGCCGATCTTATCAAGCTTGCAAAAAGGCCCCAGTCAGCGGTTTTGTAGGAGCTGATAGTCATGTGTGCTTTTGATGAGGGTGTTTTTGACAACTGAGCATTGACACTGAATGAGAAAGAGATCACTCTGTGATCACTACCGGGAAAATGTCCCAGTATCTCGGTGGAAGCTGCAGTGAAGCCGATAGTAAATATCAAATCTAATATGTTATTCTTTCTAGTGGGAGATAAGACATGCTGAGTCCATCCACATACATGCACGGTGGCGATGAAGTTTTTAAACTTATTGGGGACGTCGTTAGAGGACCAAGACAGATCAGGCATGTTGAAGTCCCCGCCTACTAGCTTGCGATTCGCGGACTGGCACGCGAGATGGCATAAAACGCTCTGTAACGCGCTTATCTCAACGAGGTTAGGATTGGGTGGTAGGTAGATGTATCCGATAATGATGAGAAGGTTATCAACTATAATGTCTATAAAAACGGAGTCTGGTACTTGTTTATGTGCATCTCCAATCCCTTGGTGAGTCATGCATTTCACACGTACTTTCATCGATACGATTTTTTAATTTTACGATGTTAATTCTCATCATCCTACGGGACCTGTCAAGCATTGCTTTTATACCCGTCATAAACCATTGTTCCATTGTTCGAATCGTCCCTGTGTTTGGATAGGCGATACCGAAGCGTGAATAGCATTTCGAACATAGATGGCGCAGCCACCACCTAGACCAGACTTACGACAACCGATAAAAGCTTTGTAACCCGAGATATGGTAAACCGACTCAGGGGTATCCTCATTTAGCCATGTTTCAGTGACTAATATAGCTAGTGGGTTCGCGAGGGAGACAAGTGTTCTTAAGCTAATTATTTTGTTCCTGAGGGAACGTGCATTTATAAGTAGGACATGCATGGCATGTGTTTTATCAGCGAGTTCTAGTGCTTGCTTAAATAATGTTATAGATGTATTATCGGGGTCAGTGGACAGGAGTTCATTGCTTGGTTCGGAAGTATCAAGTGTGCTGGGATGGAGATCTGTGGGCAGAGGAAGAGAGTGTAGGGATGAAGCAGCTGTGCCTACTGCTATGACGTTCTGAGATAAGGACAATGCATCCCGTGTGAGTTCTGTCGGAAGTTGGAGTAAGGAAGATGATGAGGCGCTGGGTGAAAGCTCTGGTTGGAATGATACTGAGCTAGCCGTGTCATCTGAATAAATTGTAGGAAGAGTTGGGCCATGAAGTTGGTATCGGCCGGATGTGCTATTGTTGGGAATGGCTGCGAAGCCATCCCCACATCTTCTAAAAAATGATCGAAGGAAACTGGTGGAGTATGGGTTCCAGCGTAGGTCTCAGGTGAGGCACTGGGCTGCATTGTCCAGTTTTTCCTACTGTCATTAATGTTTCGAGTATTATTGACAAATGCTGGATAGCGGTGCGTGGGTTTGTCCAGAAGATAACTCCTTCTGGTTTCAGTCTTACTAGTGTGGTAAGTAGTGTTTCTGGTCTGAGGTGTTTTGTTACAAGTGGCTTCTAAAGAATTCGAGGAACGTGAATTTGGTGAATCTTCGTAAGCACTTGTCATTACCGCAAATGAAATGTCGGTCTGTGACGGCACTTTGTTCCCGTATGTTAGTAGGTCGCTTGTGCGTGTAGCTTGACTTTTACGACTGGTACTTTTCTTAGTATTCGGGCCCTTGCTTACTGAATGTTCACCAGGCTGAGGTCTCGCCATAGGTGCGATATAGGGGGTATCCGATTCCATCAGGAAGCTAGCCTCGGTGTTAGAGGTGAAAGATTTTTTCACTGATCTTGACTGGGGCGTTGTGCCGGAGCCAGAAGCAAAGGCTATTGATGTTACCACGCCAGGAGAGGCATTGTCGTTGTCTACTTCGACACAGCTAGTTGTTCTATCTAGTATACCATCATCCCGAGTTATTAACTGAAGAGTCGGACTGCATGTTGTCTCTGCTCTTGGTGTTCGTGGAGTAGGATCAGAATGAGATCTTTCCAAAGGTGTCCGATCAGGTTTAACCAGTACGTCTTTGAATGGAGTATGCTGGGTTATGGCGAGCTGACTCTGCATGAAATGGTGTGCATGTTCTTCGAGAGAAAACTTAAAAAGTATGGGGCAACACCGTTACGGTGTCTTCTTATTTAGTCGTAGACATTTGCATTCGACGTTAGTCATGTTGCAAGCGTTCATCAATGTAGCTCTTACTTTAGCCAAATTAAGTTTATCAGGGATATTGAGAACTATAGCATTTTTTAATCTACGCGTTCGTTCATGAGCCTCAGACGCGATACAGGAGATAAGCTGTCTTACTCTATTCATTTGAGCCGGATCTAGTTTTCCTGATGGGTTGCAGATATAATCTAAAGAGGCAATATGGTCTTTAAGCGGTCCGATATAGTCAAGCGTTTGTTTCATTTCAGTTAGTTGAAGTTCAAGAGATTTAATCTTATCATTCATTTGTTCAATGAGGCTGGCAACTGTGGGGACAGTGTTTTGTTTTCCTCTCTGTGCTTTACTTTTTACTCGCGTTACTCGCGGAGTGGCCGGTACGCTAACTTTCGCTTGTCTCGAGCGATTATATCTTGTTGGAGTCATAGTAACTAGTTCCCGTCAATGACAGGGTTACGGAAAAGCGTGCTTAAGAGACGGGTTTGAAACAAGGACGAGTAGCGTGCAGCGATGCGAGATAACTAATTCGGAACCGAATATGGAAGCACTGAGGAGAATGGGCCCTGGCTATGTGGACACAAAACACATGCAATTAGGGCTTACCGCTTTCAGGTCAGCCGCGCAGTCCAATGTTGACAACGCGATGAGTCACAGGTGAACACAGTACACGCGCGGGGTTTGCGCGTCTTTATTGATCGGGTTGCGGCAAACGCGTGATTTGGGTGGGTTTTGTGCGAAGTTGGCCTCGTACGGGTTTTAAGCGGTTCAGCTGTGACCGTATAAGTGGTGGTAATTTTCTTCAATATCTTCCTTACGCAGCAGCCGATTGAGGTGAATGTGGGTTTATTAGAGAGCCCTCAGAATGCTCTTGAAAATGTGGCTAAAAGTAGCCTTGTTGATCTCGCAGGTAATGAATTTTCGCGCGTACGAGTTTTCTCGGAAACCACTCAAAGTGTAAGTAGATCAAGGAAGAAGAACGGTAAGGTGTATATCCAGGTGTTTAAGTGCGATTAAAAGTACTCGCTTGGCTGAATCGAATGAGTAATTGCGCTCAACTGTGAGACGAAATGTGTTTGCACAGTTAGACGAAGTGTAACAGAGCAAAATTTGTGCGACCGCAACGCACACGAGCATTCCTATTGTGGGAACAACAACATCCTAGTGTCACATCAACACGGATTTCGCCGAAATCGATCCTGCACAACAAACTTGCTGCTAGCTCGAGCAAGCTGGATAGATTCAGCCGATGCCAGTGTGAGTCGACGTTTTCTACCTGGACTTTTCGAAACCGTTCTATCATTTTTACCACCGCATTCTCGTTCACAAGCTTCGAAGATATGGACTCGGTGATCCCATACTCTGATGGATCGGCAACATTCCCGCACAACGTCAGCTGAATGTGAGAGTCCGCAGCTCCATTTCCGACCCAATAGACGTCCAGCGTGGCGTGCCACAAGGATTGGTACTGGGGCCACGTTTATTCCTCACATTCATTAACCATCTTTGCATTGTACTGCAGTCGACTTTCTTACTATTTGCAGACGGTGTCAAAATTTGGCATAATATCAGGACACCGGATGATCACGTGGCATTAAGTAGCGATTTCGACAGGGCTTATGTGTGGTCATCCGACAATCGGTTCCAGTTCAAGGTGACCATGTACAAATTCGTAAACATAACCAGCAGTTACAAAGTGCTTCCCAAGCAAAAGACCTCGGGTGATCATGCAGTACGATCTTGGTTGCTCGAGACAGGCTGAGATGGCA